TGGTTCTCCTCTGGACACAGAGCAATGGCAGTCAGTGGTAGAGAGCTCTGTCCTGTGAAAGTAGGTTCTTGGATACTGATGAACTTTCACACCAAGCAAAAGATGTGTTTAACACAGTTCTGCATGAACAACCCCTTGCATCTCTCTCCACTGCTGTTCTTTCATGTTTGCAGCATGTGCCTTTAGCACTCAGATACACTTTAGTATCTGAGTATGTGAGGAAACACTCTTCTTCATTAGCACTGAGGACAAGTAACAGCAGGAAGTCTGGATGCTCTCTCCCAGACTTGAAACATCCAGTATCTACCAGTCACTGTTGTCTGTTTTCAGAGCATATAAAATATATGGTTTTGGTGATGTTCATCGTGTATAAGCTGATGGGCATATTCCTTATACTCTGTTTTAATCATTTCACAGGTAACAAAGCAGAGGGGAAGGTGTCCTCTGTATGTTCCCGTCTTCTTGCTGCTTTATGAATTGGTGGCTGATATTCATGATGGTGGCTAGATGAAAAAGGCCACATTCAAGCTTCTGAGTGATGCTTGAAGTGGGTAAATGATGGAGTTAAAATTTTTTAAAGGTCATTTAAAATGCTACTCAAAGACCCAGTTGTGTTTCTACTGAACTGTTGAAAAGTTAAGCAACATCACATTTCAAAGTTGAAAAGAGCATCTGGAGCTTGTGATCACCATTAAAGGTGACCAGGAATCACCAGGATATTACAGTATAAATTTTCATCATTGATTCATCAAAGAATAGACTGCAAGCTGCTGGACCTGCAACATCTGAAGCAGTCACAGATCAAATCTAGGTGTTTTCTGGTGCAACTGGTAACTACAATCAAATTTGGTTTGATTTTGGACTTCCAAAGCTCCATGTTGCAGATTTCACTTGTCTGTCTGGACTGATTTGAAGCATTAGTGTCAGGAGCATAAACGGAAATGATCAGTCTTAGAAAACAGACTGGCATTGCAAGATTATCCATGAGAATCTCAAAGTGGCTCTTTTTTTGATGCTAATCACCAATGCTCTCTTAAGAGATAGAAAAATATTTTCTATCACTCTCTTGTTACAGAATCCCTTTAAAAGATTCAGGGGGAGGGGGAGTTATTAGTAAAGAGAAGAAAGGGATTAAAACTTGAAGTACATTAAGGATTTTTCTGACATTATCACAGAAGTCCAAATGCATGCACATAGGTTCAGTTTATTGCACAAAAATCCTCAAAGTGATGAGAATCTTCAAAGGTGTTTACTCTGTCTCAAATGAGAGCTTTAAATTCATATGACTGGATTTGGATTTAGTTTCTCACTTGTGTGTGACAGCATAAATGTACAAGCATTCATTTTATACTTGGCAGTGCAATCACTACTGTGTGGGGTTTATGTGGCCTGTCTTTCACAGAGCTATGAATAACAAGGCAATGACAGCCAATAATGTATTCTAAAGCATTATCATGTGTCTGCGCTGCTGGTCTCAATCTTACGTGGGCCAAATACTGGCCCTGCTGACTGCGATAGCAAACCAATTGTCTCCTTGTGTCTTTTATTTCAGCTCCATGAACATGGAGAGAACTTAGAATTGTACAGAGAGAGTGATCAGGAATAGCATACTGGCTCCCTGTCCAGATACACTCCACAGACCAAAGCTAGGAATATTTGATATGCCACAAATTGGGGTGGGATGTCTCTACTGCATGGTTAGCTCAACAGCCTTCTTGAGATCTCTTCCAGGAAGCACTGACAATACTGACCCAAGGATCTATGGAAAATGAAGTCTCTCAACTAACCTCTCAAATACTGTTACTCGGTTTTTAAAAAGTCTCCAATTTAAACCACAATCTGTATGTTCTTTCTGGCAAATTATACTTCTCTGCTGAAGTTTCAGTGTCCTCCAGAATCTTGACTGCAGGAATGAAGGGTGAACAAATTAAAGAAGGAAGGAAGGTCTGCTTTGTTTACTGTTAATCAAAGGTGTGCAGAGAACCAGCCATAGGATGTGAAGGAATAGTATGAAAGCAAGGTGGAAAAACTCTATGGAGAATATAACTGTAACTAGAAAGTGGTATTTTTCTTACCTTTCTGCATGGTACTTCTCTCTAGCCAGAGTCATGGAAAAAACCTCATTTACACTCCCCTCTTTCAGCTGCTTGAATGGGAGATAGTTTGAGCCAAATCTTGTGTGATGCTCCCGTCAGCCTGCAGCACTCCAGCTGTGCAGATCTGTGAGCCTTTGTCTTGGCTTAACTAAGCTTTGGATGACAAAACGCACTTTTAGGCATGTGTGCTAGAGCTGCCCTCCACTGTGACTTGATCTGAGGATGTGCTAAATATTACACAGGCAGCTGAATGTAACAGGACCTTGTCTGGACTGATCAAATCATGTTGGTTATAATGCTGCACAAGTCCATGGGTCCTGATGAGATCCATCCCCGGGTCCTGAAGGAACTGGCAAATGAAGTTGCAAAGCCGCTGGCCATCATATTTGAGAAATCATGGCAGTCAGGTGAAGTTCCCGATGACTGGAAAAAGGGAAATATAACCCCCATTTTCAAGAAGGGGAAAATGGATGACCCGGGAATTACAGATCAGTCAGTCTCACCTCTGTGCCTGGCAAAATCTTGGAGCAGATTCTCCTGGAAGGCATGCTAAGGCACATGAAAATCAACAAGGTGCTTGGTGACAGCCAGCATGGCTTCACTAAGGGGAAATCCTGCCTGACCAATTTGGTGGCCTTCTATGATGGGGCTACAGAACTGATGGACAGGGGTAGAGCAGTTGATGTCATCTACCTGGACTTGTGCAAAGCATTCAACACTGTCCCACACGACATCCTTGTCTCTAAATTGGAGAGACATCAATTTGATGGATGGACCACTCGGTGGATAAAGAACTGGCTGGATGGCCGCACACAAAGAGTTGTGGTCAGTGGCTCAATGTCCAGCTGGAGACCAGTAACGAGTGGCGTCCCTCACGGATCGGTGTTGGCCCCAGTCTTGTTTAACATCTTTGTCGCTGACATGGACAGTGGGATTGAGTGTCCTCAGCAAGTTTGCTGATGACAGCAAGCTGTGTGGTTCGGTTGATACGCTGGAGGGAAGGAATGCCATCCAGAGGGACCTTGACACACTTGTGAGGTGGGCTGATGCCAACCTCATGAAGTTTAACCATGACAAGTGCAAGGTCCTACACCTGGGTGGGAGCAATCCCAGGCACAGCTACAGGTTGGGCAGAGAAGAGATTCAGAGCAGCCCTGTGGAGAAGGACTTGGGGGTATTGATTGATGAGAAAATGAACATGAGCCAGCAGTGTGCGCTTGCAGCCCAGAAAGCCAACTGTATCCTGGGCTGCATCAAAAGGAGCGTGACCAGCAGGTCAAAGGAGGTGATCCTGCCCCTCTACTCTGCTCTTGTGAGACCTCACCTGGAGTATTGTGTACAGTTCTGGTGTCCTAAACATAAAAAGGACATGGAACTGTTGGAACAAGTCCAGAGAAGTGCCACAAGGATGATCAGGGGACTGGAGCACCTCCGTATGAAGACAGGCTGAGGAAGTTGGGGCTGTTCAGCCTGGAGAAGAGAAGGCTGCGTGGAGACCTCATAGCAGCCTTCCAGTATCTGAAGGGGGGCTATAGGGATGCTGGAGAGGAACTCTTCATTAGGGACTGTAGTGACAGGACAAGGGGTAACAGGTTAAAAGTTAAACAGGGGAAGTTTAGGTTGGATATAAGAAGGAAATTCTTTCCTGTTAGGGTGGTGAGGCACTGGAACAGGCTGCCCAGGGAGGTTGTGAATGCTCCATCTCTGGTGCTGTTCAAGGCCAGGTTGGATGAGGCCTTGGGTGATACGAGTTAGCGTAAGGTGTCCCTGCCCACGGCAGGGGGGTTGGAACTAGATGATCTTAAGGTCCTTTCCAACCCTAACGATTCTATGATTGTATGATTCTAATTAAGAACTGAGGATAGAATAATGAAATCAAAATGAAACTCAAATGAATGAAATGTGAACCAGAGCAAACTAAACTAGAGAAATTTCATTTAACAGAATTTATGGCTATGAATACATCTAAGAGCCATGCATTTTTATATTCAGATAGCATTACAAAAACATTAGCCTAACTCAAAAAACAGAATATTTAATATATAACCTATTCCACGCTATGAAACAAGAGACAGTGATAACTGAAAGGGATGATTTTTTTTTCCAAGAGTTTACTAATTGATTGATCTGCATTTGGGGGAGGTGTCAGTTCCCTAAATGTATCTTTACATGTCAGAATATGACATATAAGTGTCATCTTATATGTGACTTCATGTAAGTCCCCTAAGTGACTTCAACCAGGAATTGCAGGACAGGGATGGTATGGAACAAAGCACTTGCAGTGTTTTAAGACCCCAAACTGTTTCTAATGGGACCTACCCTCTTGGAGAAAAGCTACTCAGTTCAATGACAGTGATTCACCTCTTGCAGGAGCAGCTGGAAATTGCATTTGGAGCACAGAATTATGGGGACTGGGAGCTAATTTCTACTGCAGTAGGAGTCAAAAAATGCCATTTGAGTGCAACAAACTGAGAATATCAGGAAAAAAGATTTTGATATGCAAGTTTCTTTGTCATTGCCTCAAGAGGGATCTGAACCATCACCCCCTTGTTCCCTCATACTGGCTGTCAAGAGACTCATGACACCATCTGTCTGGATCTGAAAGCCTGAGCTGGGAGCAGACGGTAGAGACACAGACTGCACAGGACAGACATAATGCAGACTTCAGGGAAATGTTTTTGTTTCTGCTTTATCTGAAATGTTCTTGATGCATTGACTTGGCTTACCAACTGCAGTTATGAAAATCAGAACTGAGGTCTGATTTAAACACTTGCTCCTGAGAAGGATTACCTACACACTGGCCATCTCAACAACCTGGAGCTATTTGCAAGTACTTTTCCTGGAAAGTGTATTTCTGTTAGTTTCTGATCAAACTGAAAAATAATAACTCCAACACATGACTGCTTAACTTTTTCATGGAAAAGGTCAGTCTTTATTGTATTGCTTTCACATCTGTACATAGGAACATGAGCTTAAACAATCTGCAAAGTATCTTGTGTTAGATAACGAATTCATCTACTTATATAAAATTAACTCTCTGATCTATGTCAAAACTCACAATTTAATATCTTACTAGCACAGTTCTTGCCGTAATGCTGCCCTGAACAAACACTCCCTGCAGTCACTCCTGCTGATTGTCCCCTGAGAAAGCACTGTCTTTGAACTAGTGGCTGGTAGAGTTTCAGTGTGTGATTGTAACACTTGCTTAAGCAGTATGTAGAGCGTGTCTGGATAACATGGTATTTATTCAAAAGTTTATCGACTCTGAGTAACATCTTGATTTTCTGTTATAATAGAACATAGCTTACATTATTTGTTCATACAGTCCATTCCAGAATTACCTATGAAGCCAAGTACGGTGCATGAATCACTGTGGTTACTGCACACTCAAGAGGCAATGACCATGGAGAAAAGTCACCACTGACAAGGTCTGATGACAACTCTTCTTGTCCCCTTGTCCTTCTTTTCATCTCCACATTTCAGAGTATAATTTATTTCCATGACTTGATCCATGCACCTGGTCATAATCCATTTCAGGTGTTCAATGAATCTGTTTAAAAGAAAACACATAAATGCAGAGTAACTCTCTATACTTAAAAATGCACAGGGAAGTCAGTGTGTAGGTTAGATACAGTACCATGCTGTTGACTTCTTAAACAAAACAACAAAATCCACCACAACAAAAACCTCCTGTGAATACGGATATTAATTCTGTGAGAATCACATTTCAGAGAAATCAAGGTAACAGTTTCTGTTCATGAGAGGGCACACTAGTCTTTATTGCAATTTTAACAGAGGCATGAAGATGTTAGCTGTCAAACACAGGCCATCAAATCAATTATAAGGGCTGCTTTTAAGAGATTGCAACCAGCTGTGACATACAGTGGGACAGCCTAATTCATGCTAGGTATGATAAATCAGTCCTATCAAAACTGATTTTTGAACTGGCTACATTTTCTCAGCCAGATACTGTTTATTAAGACTGTTATTATTTGTGTAATTGTGTTAGTTAAATATTGCCTATGTTTGACGCTGTCTGATTTTGATCACTTTCTCTTCTTTAGCGTCACTTTGTTCAACGCATTTTGGAGCCACTGGTAAGAAGTTACAGTTAAATAACATGTAAATTCTTGACAAGAATCAATGCCTGTTATAATTGCTTTATCCCAGTTTACATAATTTGCCTTGACTGGGTCAAAGTATCTAGTGGCTATTAAGAGGCGATTTTTTTACTATCATCAGAGGTAAACACAAGGCCTGAGAAGCCTTCTTTAAGTAGAACTACAGCTGCGGATTACAAAAGTGCTGGGCACTAGTGACTGTATCCATTTGAATCACAGAATGATAGGATGGTTTGGGTTGGAAGACACCTTAAAGCTCATTCAGTTCCAGCCCCCTGCTACAGGCAGGGACACCTTCTACTAAACCAGGTTGCTCCAAGCCCCATCCAACCTCTCCTTGCACACTGCCAGGGATGGGGCAGCCCCAGCTTTTCTGGAAACCCTGTGCCAGCACCTCAGCGCCCTCACAGGGAAGGACTTCTTCCTAATGTCTAATCTAAATCTATCTTCCTCTACCCCTGGATTGGTATTGTGATCTTACAGATGAGTAATCAACATAACATAGAATGCTGTGGCTCTGAGAACGGATGGTTGCCTGGGGATGAATCTGTGCTGAAGAAGAGTTGAGGTAAAGAAGACCAAGAGCAGGTCCCTAGGCTGCCTGCAGCTCAGGAGATCATCTGCACTGTGTGTCTTTGAAGGACAGCTCTTCCCTCCTTCCACTCTGTAGGTATGACAGGCCTCCTGCAAGGTGTGGGAAGGCAGGGGACCCTTCATGGGAAGGGAGCTAATCTGGTTGTATAATGGAAGAGAGTTTGTAGTAAAGCAGTAACAGACCTGCTAACAGATCTGTAGCTCTGTGAAAAGGCTCTCGCTGGGCTGATGGCGCAACACAGTCTTCCCCCTGTTCTCCTGCTGTGCCTGGAGCAGAGGCTCAGCAGATCGTATGCCAGGGTGTCTGGAACAAGGGGTCCTGAGGCAGGAGAGCTGCCACCATTTTGGGTACAGAGCGTATAACAGAGCCTACAAGAAGTCTGAATGAAGAATGAAATGTGATGGTCACGTTTTGCATGAGCATGAAGAGACTGAGGAATGAGGCATCGTGAACAAGAGCGTTAAAGGGAGCCAAAAGCGAACAGGTTGACACAGTACTGGGGGAAAGCAGACTGAAAGAGTGACTCCTACGGATTGAAAGCAGACTGAAAGATTGGAGGTGGAGAGTAAGGCTTGGGAGGAAAGAAGTTGGTAGCAGCTGTACCAGGGACCAGCTTTTATTCAACATCACTATTAGTGACCCAGAGAAGTGAGAGAATGGAGAAATCTTCCTTCGAGACTGCAGAAAATGGGCTCCTTCAGGTATTCAGATGCTGCACTGACAGCAAGGAACTCTGAAGGATTTCATAAAATGCAGTGGGCAAAAGGTGGCAGGTTCAGGAAACATTTGCAAAAGGGCTGGGCAGCAATGTGCCCTGTAACATCCCCCATTGTGGATTCTGAGAAGTACAAAGAGAACAGGCTGCAGATTTTGGTCAGGATCATGTGCTCTCCTGGAGAGCATCCTCTGCTGCTGTCAGTGGCGGAACACAGCGCTGGCTGAGAGTGGTCTGACTCATCCTGACATTCTGTATGTTCCTGTGTGTTGCTTTCTGTAGATGCTAGGCCAGAAACAAGCACTTTTGTGTTCAGTGAGGTATTTCTGTCAAATGTCTATCAGCTACAGCACTCTGCTAACAGTAATCATGTGCTCAAAATCCTGTCTCTCACATTAAGAACAAGAGAAGGGGAAACAGCAGCTGAATAGGTTACTCATTTGGTGTTTATCAGATTGCTTTCCAAGTTGATTTAAAAACTCTTATCTACAGCAGGCAGTTGAGGGGAATTGTTACTATTCTGCATTGTAAATCTAATTTTTGGCTGGCTTAAAAATAACATTGCAAAACATAGTGGGCCTCCAAATTAAAGTATAAAGCTTTTTAATGGAAGTTTCAAAAACTGCTGTATTTCAAATATTGCTGTAGGGCTGCTAGTCTAAGATTGTAATTTGTAGTGGCAGATATTAAATGGGGTGTGAATGATACAATTGACCAGGATATTCAATTTTGCCTTTCAAGTCAGCTGATTAAAAGTCTTCAAGTTTCATGTAAGTCTATTTTTTTAAAAGAATTAAAAAAAACACTGGGAAATGAAAAGGCAGCAAGTATTTTTAAAATCTCCAAACTATGGTCTTCTAGTAGCTTAAAAGATTGCTGTATTTAATGGTAGGGTTCCTGACGACTGAAAAAAAGGAAATATAACCCCCATTTTCAAGAAGGGGAAAATGGATGACCCGGGGAATTACAGACCAGTCAGTCTCACCTCTGTGCCTGGCAAAATCTTGGAGCAGATTCTCCTGGAAGGCATGCTAAGGCACATGAAAATCAACAAGGTGCTTGGTGACAGCCAGCATGGCTTCACTAAGGGGAAATCCTGCCTGACCAATTTGGTGGCCTTCTATGATGGGGCTACAGAACTGAGGGACAGGGGTAGAGCAGTTGATGTTATCTACCTGGACTTGTGCAAAGCATTCAACACTGTCCCACACGACATCCTTGTCTCTAAATTGGAGAGACATCAATTTGATGGATGGACCACTCGGTGGATAAAGAACTGGCTGGATGGCTGCACACAAAGAGTTGTGGTCAATGGCTCAATGTCTGGCTGGAGACCAGTAACGAGTGGCGTCCCTCACGGATCGGTGTTGGGACCAGTCTTGTTTAACATCTTCGTCACTGACATGGACAGTGGGATTGAGTGTCCTCAGCAAGTTTGCTGATGACAGCAAGCTGTGTGGTTCGGTTGATACACTGGAGGGAAGGAATGCCATCCAGAGGGACCTTGACACGCTTGTGAGGTGGACTGATGCCAACCTCATGAAGTTTAACCATGACAAGTGCAAGGTCCTACACCTGGGTGGGAACAATCCCAGGCACAGCTAAAGGTTGGGCAGAGAAGAGATTCAGAGCAGCCCTGTGGAGAAGCACTTGGGGGTGTTGGTTGATGAGAAAATGAACATGAGCTGGCAGTGTGCTCTTGCAGCCCAGAAAGCCAACCGTATCCTGGGCTGCATCAAAAGGAGCGTGACCGGCAGGTTGAAGGAGGTGATCCTGCCCCTCTGCTCTGCTCTTGTGAGACCTCACCTGGAGTATTGTATGCAGTTCTGGTATGCTCAACATAAAAAGGACATGGAGCTGTTGGAACAAGTCCAGAGAAGGGCCACAAGGATGATCAGGGGACTGGAGCATCTCCCGTATGAAGACAGGCTGAGAAAGTTGGGGCTGTTCAGCCTGGAGAAGAGAAGGCTGTGTGGAGACCTCATAGCAGCCTTCCAGTATCTGAAGAGGGCCTACAGGGATGCTGGGGAGGGACTCTTCATTAGGGACTGTAGTAACAGGGCAAGGGGTAACGGGTTAAAACTTAAACAGGGGAAGTTTAGATTGGATATAAGGAAGAAATTCTTTCCTGTTAGGCTGGTGAGGCACTGGAGTAGGTTGCCCAGGGAAGTTGTGAATGCTCCATCCCTGGCAGTGCTCAAGGCCAGGTTGGATGAGGCCTTGGGTGATATGGTTTAGTGTGAGGCATCCGTGCCCACAGCAGGGGGTTTGGAACTTGATGATCTTGAGGTCCTTTCTAACCCTAACTATTCTATGATTCTATGATTATAGCCTAACTCCAGCATTAGAAGAAGAAACTCACTCATGGTATTTTTGTTAATTGTCTGTGAAGTTACTGCTCTGCACAACTGAGCCTCGACCAAAGGAAACACTGTGACTGTGTTTCACATCCTGACATTGCTTGCTGTTTCCTGGCTTCCTGCTGGAGTTCACTGCATTCACTGCACTAGAGCTTGTACTTGCCACGGATCTCTCAGTGCACTTCGTAATTTCCCATTATACTGTTATCTTTCATATATGGCTGCTATTAGTCTATACCCTTATCACATATATTAGAAACATGTTTGCTTTCTCAGAGAGCATCATTCAAACTATTTAGCTAATTTCTTCCCCCAGGTTTGTAGCCAAAGTACTAAACTTCAGCTGGAAAAAGACAGTTTGACAATTTTCTTGAAGAACTGGAAAAACTTGGCCATTTCTGTGTCCTATTTAATTTTCTGAGACAATTGTATTCTATATAAACTAGAATCATTACAAAGGGTCAAATGCCAAGAGCTGGACTGGCCAAATACACAAACTAAGTGTCTCTAGATTGCTCTTTTCTTCTATTTTAGGATTGCCATTTGCTAGCTGAACTACAGTTTCACTCCTTCAGAGGAAACAAACATGAAGAATTAAAAGAGATTCATTTCTTAATTCCTTCGGCAACTTAAAACTGGCAACTGGCTATTGCTTCCTATTGAAGCAAGTTGATTATAGTAAGCTTCATTTTTTGTAGGGAAGAACCATAGATTATTATTTTTCAATTATCCTTCTTTAAAATTACTTGTGGCTGGGGCTTTTAACACATGAAATACTCGGGCCTGAACTATTTCTATCCTAAAGGGAATGTGTCTCTATATTCTATGCCTCATTTTATGTTACTAACAACAGCTTTTGGAAAACTTAAAAAAAATCTGCCTCCTCTCTTTGCATTACATAAATGAATGCATTTGGTAGGAAATCCCTTAGGACTGTCCATGGCTGTGGTTAATGAGTCTGTATAGACAGTTTATTAGTTAATGATTTTGTCTTCTCTCCATCTAAGATGGAATTCCAGTTAATGAGAGTCAGAGTACAAAAGTAACTTTAAAACAGAGCTGTCAGGTGTGTTTGAGCACTTCTATTAACTTTAAGAAGAATTCAAAACAGTTCTAAAAACCACAGCTATTACTCTTAAGCCTGTTGTTACTCTAACTCATATAAACTAGCTGACTGACTCAGTCTGAAAGGGAAGAAGTCGGGAGGTGTATTCTGACACGCTTATGTGTATCCTGTCACTTCCAGTGGTAACATTCTTCTGATTCGTTCCTTCACATGGCACCTCCATTTCAGAGAGATGGATCAGAGGCACAAGTTAAACTCACAGCAGCCATCAGCAGCAGACACAGGAAGGAGTCCAGCATGCTTACTTCCCTCTCCACTAGGCCATGCTGTCTCTTGTAGACACTGAGGCTACATTTCTGATTGGCACTATATTGATGAGCTAGTGAGTAAAGCTATGTCTGTGACTCAGGACTTAGGTGCTGGCATTCAGCAAAAGTCCTGAGTCACAAGATTTTGAGTTCTAAATTCTGCTCACTGAAGATGCTTATCATAAATCACATTGATGAAAAATATAGATAATGCTTGTACTGTAAGATTAAATAAATCCAGTATTTCCTATTCAGTCTTCATTACTGATTATTTTTGCTCATTTTCTTTCTGATTAGAATACTTTGTGATGAGTCACATCTGATTTTAATAAAGTTCAAGGAGAACAGTTGGATCACCTTATTCCAGGGGACTTATAATAGGGAACCTGGCACACTCACACTAGAACAGTAGATGACATGAGCAAGCTCAGTTCTGCTCAGTTCACACAGATGGGTCTCTCCATCTGAACAGGACAGGAAGCTTCTTTCATCTGCTTAGTCCTCTACCTTCAATCTCTGTCATCAGTTATGCCCAGAAACCTGGACGTAATTTTGCTTCTGTTGAGTTCTGTCAGCTCAAGAGAGGGGTTTGCTGCAAGAGAGAATAGAACTTTTCTGGTCCATGTAGTCTCTTATTTTTACATCACAATTAGCCTATCCACATTTGCTGAATCCCCTCTTGGGATTTCCCCCCTTTGTCTTCCTGTCATGCTGCCACTCATCTCCTGGGTGCAAGGCATCATTGCAAGGAGCACACTGCAAGGTTTCAGCTAAGGCTAATCACAGCTTTTTAGTTGTTCTCAGTAATCACTGGTGAGTCACATGAAGAACACTCCTCTTATATTTAACACCAAGCATATGCCTATGGATTTCTCATCTCTGCTGGTTAGATTCTCATCTGAGACCCATTCTTCCCACAACTTCTTGTGAATGCTCAGCACAACTGGGTCCAAGTGAAGAGGTCAGGTGGGCAGCCTGTGTTGACACTCAGTACAGTACAGAACTTAATACAGAACTTAGGGCACTGCAGGCTGGGCATGACAGGGGTTTAAATCTTCTCTTTCAGTGTCTGCCTTCTGCTCCCAAAGCAGAAAACACAGTTCCAAATTAGGGTGCTCTTCTGCCTGCCTTCCTAGGATATTGGTGAGGAGGAATGGCATGGAACAATGAAGAAACCTGTAACCAGGATATTAACACAAATTCCTTTACGTGGTGACATGCTGAGTCTTTGCCTGGTAGCTATATAATTATGCAGTTTGTGGCCTGGCTGCTGTATACACAAATATCATTAAATATATAAATAGACAAAGCACAGTAATAGTGCATTTTTTTGCTCCCTAATAATTGACCTAACTTTAGGCATTTGTGGTTTAATTCTCAGTGGCAACCACCACTAACATGACCACTTCCAAATTAAATGATCAGTGCTGGAGCTGGGACGTGTGCAACGCTCCATTACCTCAAGGTGGGTATAAACCAGAACTCCTGAACTTTGTAAACACTTTGATTTCTCCATGTAGAGGTGATATGGTTTTATAGTTAGAATATCAAGAAGTTTGCAGAGCTGCTTATCCCATTAATATGAGGGAAAAAATTAAGAAACCTATTTATACTGAACAGAACTGTATTCAGGTCTTATGCTCTGCTAAACTATGTGTTTATGTAGTAGGAAAAATCCACTGAAGAAAATGATGTCTGTTTTTCTCCTTGGGTCTTCCTGAAAACTAGATGCAACTCATCATGACAAATCCTAGTCAGCAAAAAAATTTAAAATAAATGTGAATGCTTGCATTAGAATGGTGTTGGAGTAATTAAGATTTGGAGAAAGGGATTTTTTGCATCAAAGATTTTGCTTAAGTTCCATTGATTTTTATTAATTTCTTCCCTGGAATATAGAGCATTTGTGTGCTTTTGACCAAACTTTGCTCGGCTGTTTGTGCAATTAATGCTACTCCAATACCAAAAAAATTCCACATTTCCCTCTGAAGTACTGACCAAAATCAGCTATTGTTGCTTTATATGGAATGTGAATAGAAATACTTAGGAGACAGTTTTAATCTGTATGAAGGGCAGGGAAGGTTTGTTTGTTGGGTTTTGGTATTGGGTTTCTGGTTTTGTTTTTTAATTAGAAGTCAGATGAAAATTGTTTGATAGGTATATGGTATTTGTATAGTATATTCACCAAGGTTATGTTTGCAACCTTGCAACAGAATTTCCTATTTCCATAATTTCAAATAGAAAATAAACACGTGTCCTGATCTGGTTTTCAAATTTACAGGCAATATTTTGCTAGAAACTCTACTGGCAGATTTGCTAACACATTTTAATTCAAACTGTGAATGTTTTCATGAACATACATTTGGCACAGAAAGTCCTAGCTAGAAATAGTGATTTTCTTCCCAATTGCATTTCAGTGTTTTAAAATGTTAAATCCTTACAACATTTCCAGAGTTTTAGAATCACTCAAAACTACAACAATAAATTGATCAAGCAAACTCTCCTGCCAGGATTATCATGAGAAGAACTGGGAGCTGGGTAGGTTTCTTATTATCCAAGACGGAGGTTTTAAACAGCACCTGATTGAGATGTCTTTCTGTTTCGATTATGGGCTCTGAATTTTAATAAACATTAGCCTGGATGTTCAGTTACGTTCCGAGCTGCTTTCAAGAGTGGAGCAGCAAAGTTCTTTACCAGCTGTAAAGGTAACACCGAGCATAACAGCTGCAGTGGCTCACAACTGTGAATATCGGGCCTTAGAGAAAGACATTACCTCGCCGCGCCGCAGAGGACACGGAGCGGGCCCTGCACAGTGGTGCGGCGGAGGAAGGGTGGCGGCAGCGCACGGGACAGCCCGACCCCTGCCTTCAGAGCGCCAGCCAAGCCCCGGCCTCGGCTCCTGGCCCCAGTCCGCAGAGCTCACCCGCGTTGGCGGCTGCGGCGGTGCGTGTCCCGGCACAGGGCCCGCTCCCTGCCCTTGTCTTCCGCCGTCCCGGGAAGGGCTACCCCCAGCTCCGATGGCGGACTGGGCGCGCCGAGCGCCCCACTGCCCGGAACGAGATGGAGTAAATGACTTACTTCCCCGGCGAGCCCTCGGCGTGCCCGCGGCCCTGCCCGGCGGCAGTGGGTCCCGGCCCCCCGCCCCTGCCCCTGCCCCGGGGCTGAGGGGAAGCGGAACTATAAGGGAAGATGCTGCAGAAGGAGCCGAGCCGCAGCGAGGGTATCGCGGGGCCGCGGCGGTTCCCTAGGGGCGGCCATGCCGGGACACCCAGCCCCAGTCCCGGGCCGGACGGCGTCACCCAGCAGTCAGTCTCTTTGGAGCGCCCCGGGCCGTCACTCCAAGTACCCATCAAAGACATCCAGCTCGCTGTCCGTCTCGTAGAGCACTGAGCCAGGGTCAGAGAGCACCCCAAGATCCACCAGAGCGTGGTCCATATCCTCGGGCAGGAAGACGATGCCTACATTGAGAACGATGTACTCCATCAGGAAGGCATAGTACAGGATCAGCACGTTGACAAAGAATAAGCCCACGTAAAACATATAGGGCAGCACCAGCAGTGCATGGAAGGCCCAGGACTCCAGCGAATCCAGACGTGCCGAGACCGCGGCGGGCATGCAGCCGTGCGGGGCTCCGGCGCGGGCACCGACCTGCCCGGCCGGCCCGGAGGAGGAGCGGGGCGCGCAGGACCGCACTCCGCAGCCCCGGTGACGGAGAAGGGCCGGAGCTGGATCCGGAGCCGGGCAAGAGGCGAGCCCCGCTGAGGCGGCACAGCCGCAGAGCGCCCGGTCGGCCCCCTCCTTCCCCGGAGGAAGAGAAGCCCCCGCAGGCGGGTGGCCAGCGCGGCTTCAGCTCCGCTGCCGCAGCCCCACCGCTGGCAGGAGGCTCCGCAGGGGCATCTCCAGCGCGGCTGCTGCAGTCCCGCCGCGGCTCTCCTCCTCCGCCCGCCCGCAAACTTTGCCCGTAGGCGCGCTCCCGCTTAGCATATGCTGCCCTCAGCAAGCCGACAGCCCCGGCCTGCGGGGCAGGACGTGCTCCTGCCCGCCCATCTCCTCACCTCCCACTGCTGCCGCCTGACCGCTCACCCGCGCCGCATACTCTCCGTGGCGAAACCGGCCCGCGGCGGGGCTGACGGCCTCTACGGAACCGCCGCCTCCCGTTCCGCCTGCCCGGAGGCCGGCGCGTCGGTCTGGGGAGTTGGAAGCGTCGTGCGGTACCTCGACCCCCGCCTCCTTCCCCGCACCTGCCGCAGCCGGAGGGTGGGGGCAGATCTGGGGTGTTTCTGTGCCCCTGGAAGCTGTTCTGTCCCGGGGGCCTCGGTGGAGGCGTTTCTTTGCTGATCAAGGCTTTACCCGTACCTACGTGCTGCCGAAGGCAGGGTTAAACCTTAAGGCTATCTTGACAGTGGCTGACAAACTCCTCAGCTGTACTAGGTTTATTTATCCAGTTAAAGTAATAATTGTAAGGGCAGACCAAGACTGTCATTAATGGTCTCTTCGTCCCACTTCGATCAAGTTTGTTTTCAAGCTGGTTCAAAAGTATGCGAGCATTACTGGAGGAAGTTCGGTGAAAGCAGCCCCAGCAGCCGCTTCTCGTCGTGCCCCGCAGCTCTGCCACGGCGGCATGGGCCAGAGCACTGCTGTCCGCAGGGTCCCGGGGGCGTACGGTGAATCCTGGGGCCACGTTCACCTCAGGTCACCGTGCCTATGGGGCACAAAGGCCCGCTGAAACGCTATTGTGTTGCTCGGGCTAAACGTGGCCTGCGGTACACGGTTCCGCGTCCAACACCTCACAGCCTGACGGCGCCGAGCCGCCACTGCCGCGCGGGGGGGCGTGGAAGGGCTCCTCTCCCACATGGCGCCCGAGAAGGCCCCGAGCTACCCCGTCACGTGGTTCACCCTGAGGAGATCCGCGGCGGCGCTGCTCTGTTGTAATCCCGACAGGAAAGGAGGAAGCACTGCGCTTCCCGGGGACTTCCCCGTTTCCTTGCAGCTGGGTACCGGGCCCCGGTGGACGCCCTCCCCCAGTCTGGGTGTCCCTGAGAGCGGGTCACCTGCGGGAACCGCCGGCTCCGCCAAGCGAGGGAAGACGCGGCTGTAGCTGAGCTCTCACCACTTCCCGCCCGGGTGACGAGCAGCGACCGCACCGCAATGCCTGCTGGGACCTGCAGTCCGCGCGGAGCTGCGGGACTCACCGGTTCCCACCGTGCCCCTCTGGCGCATGCGCCGTGGTGCTGGTGTCCGTCGGTGTTCTCTGCGGCTCAGGCTTCTTCTTGATGTCGGTCTGCTTGGGCGCCGTTCGGTCCTTGCCCGTCCTTCTCCCCGGGGCCGTGAAGTACTAGAGCCCTGCGGGTGCAGTAATCCTTCGCTGCCAGCATGTTCGGCCGCTCCCGCAGCTGGGTGGGCGGCGGGCACGGGAAGGCCGCCCGCAGCATCCACTCCTTGGATCACCTCAAGTAAACGCGAGGCCGACGGGGGCTTGGGGCAGCTGTGAGGGGAGGGGGAGCCTGGGGGCGCGTGACCGCTGTGGCGGGGAGCCGGGGCCAGACGGCTGTCTCCGGCTCTTGAGGGCCTCGGAGGGTGCGGAGTGGCGGAGCTGCTCGGGGCAGGGCTTTACCTCAGAGAGGGCTTCGGAGCAGGGCTGGGGGAGAAGGGGGGCGGAAGTCGGCCGGAACGCTCCCGGCGCTGTTCACCTGAACCGGTTCAGCTGAATAGCCCCAAGAGCAAGCTCTGAGCGGTGCGGGTTGGTGTTTTTCTCACGGAAACTGCCTCGTCGTCCCAGAATGTCCTCAGGGCAGACGCAGTTCCCTGATGCCATGCTACGCTCAGGGCTGCAGCACTTGTGTGTTTGATTTTTTTTTTTTTTTTAATAATGTCACAGACTTTCAGCGGAGTAGAGCGTGAGAGGTGATAAATACAGGAAATAACACATTCCTCAGGAGGGAGAACTTTGTTTCCTGGTAGTGGCAAAGATAGGGAAGCAAGGAGCCTGATCCCATCCTGTACAGTACAATACAGACCTTCTGAGGGGTGTGTACATTTTAATAGTCAGCAGTGATTCATGGTAGTCAGGTTGGTGATTTTGCAGGTCCAGGGACCTGCCCTGGTTGGAGGGCTCAGGAGCTGGCGCAGCAATACAGCTTTTGAGCTGGAGGATCGTAATGTTCGTCTCTGGAGGCTGACAGCTTTGTGTTACTGCTGTCTGCAGAGTGTGGAATAGTGTTTTTCTCTAGTTCTGCCACAGGAGAGTTGGAAGGATGGCAAGGGATAAAACATTCCATATTCCATTTCAAGCATTCTGCTATTGTGAGAAAAATAGGAATCCCTGTTATAGCTTCTTTTTCTACTGAAAAAGAAAAGGAGGTCACTGAGAGAGGAAGCATTTCTAAATTAAATCAGTATGAATACATAGCTCATTGAGAAATAAGTGGCTGGTAGTTTACAAGTTTTGAATCTTGCAATTACTTTGTCAAGGTGATTTACAGATTCTGGTACTTGTCTTCAACTAGAAAAATGTTCAAAGCCTTCAAGACTAATTGAAACGCATTAGTTTTTACCAAAGATGGGGAAATCAAGTGCATAAATACAAAACTGATGAGGTAGTAGCACAGCAGAAAGTAATTTTGAAGCATGGTAGGTCAGACTAGTACATCAACATGATCTGGCATTGCAGGAAAAAGGGAAAAAGTCGTGTTTGGATATAAACGTAGGAATGTTCTATTTAACATACAAGGGGTAGTCACTGGGTACTACTCATTGCTCTTGGAGTTTTAGGTCTATATGGTTTTGATGTTACACTTGAAGGTAGAGCAAGAATGCTGATGCATGATGAAATTTGAAACAACTGAGTTTAAGTTTAGAAAAAGTAGGCAGGTGAGGGAGAGACTTTCGGATGTTAGAATCTTTCAGGCAAGAAAAATGTGATTATATGCTCTTTTGGGTCCCCAGAGGGTCAATAAAAGTGATACTCTGATTTGCAGTAAAAGGGACTTACAGCCTAAGTGTTGTTGCTTGTGGTTGATTTCTTGTCTCAGAATGAAGTATATCGTTCTCTGCTAAAATGCTGTCTTTCAGTTGTTTGCTTCTTCTGCATGTGATTTCTTTAATCATAAATTCTAAAATGGTAGTAAGTAAAGGACAGCCAAGACCTTTGATCTGTTTAGACTGTGTATTTTAAGTGTTTCTTTATCTATGCTGTATTAATTTCAGTTTGCAGCTACGTGTCAACAGCAAAGGTAGCTACCTACTGGTAAAGTGAAATTTAGGGCTTTTCTAAGGTAGCAGTCAAAGTGGGTAAAGCAACAGAAGGAAAAAGAGCAAAGAACCTTTGTTTTGGGTTCATGAAACGAAGTCTGTGAGCTTTCTGCATTCTCATCTCAAACCACCATGTTGTGTTCCATGTGAATGGGTTGAGTAGAATGCACCAACCTTACTATTACAGGTAAGCTTAGCCTATAAAAAGTGAATTAGGCTATGCTGCAAGAGTGAAATTAGTTAGCCCAGTCTATCCTTACAGGAATACTTCCTTCTGCAAATATGCTATAGAATGGATTGGCTGGAAAAAAATCATGAGGCTGCATGAAGTGTTTTGATACAGTCTCTTGGTCTAGTCAAAAGTTAGAGTATAATCTAGCTTTCTAATAGTTGCTGAATTGCAATCTAGAGAGGCTGTGAAACATTTACTATGCACTGTCTGAGTGCTTCTGACCATTGTTTTTCAGGGAACCTGGTATTTTTGTGCCCTTTGGTTAGTAATTGAGGCATTATCAATAACAATAAATGGAGAAAGTCTAAATATTCTCAAAACAAGAACAATATTAAAATATTGTGAAAATGGTGTGAAATTACTTTTTTATCTTTACATTAGGTTGTGTCTGAAATCAGGCTGAAATCCACTTCTTAAAGTTGGCATCCAGCAGTTTAAAATGAAACACTGTTTTCTCTGCCTTTATGTAGTCCTCTGCTCTGTTTATTATATGTTTCCAGTTCTAAAAGCAAATGGCTTTTAGACAGGGCTGGTCTACCTTTGCATGCAGGCTGATCTACCATTGCATGCAGGCTGGGAGTTCTCCTGTAGGTCAGGATTTCTTGCAGTTTTCTCCAGCTGCTGGCTGTGATAGTCGCTGTACTCTGATTCTGCAGCAACTCATCTTAGGAGCTGTGACCTATGGCTAAAATACCAGAAAGTCTTTCGTATCGCCCAGTTGAGGGTAGTGTAACCTTAGATATTCATGGTGAGGATTTATTGAAAGCATAATGGTATCTTAATTCCCCTTCTGTCTACAAACTTTGACTTTGCATTGGAACAGATGAAGAGGATTGATGTCAGTTTCCCCATATATAAGTGGTGATATCTTAAACATTTCTGAGGAGTTCATCTGGTAATACCGCTGGTGTTTCTGCTAAAGTGAAAGGCTTTGGAGTTTAGGATTAGTATCTTTGTTTCTAGATGCATTCCCTCCCCCCCCCCCCCCCCATCTCAGAAGTATTTTACATAGCCCTGTTGTTACATTCAAGTATGCTTCCCATTATTGCTTCTACACTTGGTATTTTAATTCCATACTGATTGCACAAAAGGTTTTATAGCATTAGGGATGGATGCTGAACATTTCTCATGACTTTGTCAGATGCAGTGTCCATAAACATGTATGGTTGAAGACCTGCTTCACAGTTGACTCATTTCCTGCAGTACTGTCCATGCTATAAGTTGAATTTCCTCTATAAGAACAGTATGTGACTGCATAGTTACAAGCAGCATGAAGAAGCAAGCATGTTGTGTTTAAGTGTGGGCATTCCAAGTGCTTGACTTCCTAAACTCTTCTCTGTTGTAGTGCTTTTTTGTAAATAATAAATAGGAAAATCATTAAGACACACTTTCTATATTCATGAGTTATGTTATCCCTTTGAACATGGTTTATTATCATAAAATGTTCAGAATTTTGTTTGTCTTGTTAAAGTTGCTGGCAAAATCTCCCACAGATTTTGATGATATCAGGTGCTTTGATGCTTCCTTTATGCTGATTTTTTGATAGGATTTTGTTTGTTTGAA